GGTGCGTTCTACATGGTCTCCCTGAAAACAAGACCAAGTTGCGACAACGAGGTCAACCCACTTCTACATTACTTATTGTTTGCTTTATCCTATATATGAGATATAAGGTGGTAAAGTGAATTTTATGTATGATATAATGAGAGTCTTGATATCCCGTTTAGAAACCACTAAGTAATGTAGTCTAATGCGATTTAGCTTCATCGACAATCCCACTGCAAAACATAAAATCGGTAAAAAATGCATAGCCTTCCTCGAAATTAGCAGTGGATGGTTATGAAAATTCAACTCTCATTCCTTCACCATCTGAATGAATCTCATATAACATCTCATATTGTACCGTTTTAAATATACGTTAGTACAGACGATACTACTGATAGTAGTAAAGTCATTTTAAATCAAAATTAGTCTAAAATTCGAGTGATTTAAAATTGCCGTTTCCGGCCAAACAGGAGGGAAAAGTAGAGTTTACAGAGCCGCTTATACTGTTGCACAATTCTGGTGCAGCAAGACTCATTTTCTGCATGCGAACTGAACCATAATGCCATGCGACACGTTTCGCCCATTTCGGTCAGACGTGATGTGACTCACAAATACAGCCTCATGTTGTCCGTCTTTATCTTCACCCCAGCCTACTACCAGTGGGTACCATTTGTGTTGGCCCTGCAGGGCCTACTCTTCATGCTTCCAATGTTGCTGTGGCGCATGCTTTTTCGCATCAAGGCTGGTGTCAATCTGCAGAGAATCCTGGAGAAGACAACAAATTCGGAGAACAGCGATCTCTTCCTGAACCAGACTGGTCTCTCCTTGCACATTCTCAATGCGCTACGTATTCCGATAAAAAAGCAGATTTCTAAAGGCTTCGAAACTGATAAAACGGTTCACTACACTTTGGGCAAGACGGTGCCGCGCATCACTCACCTGCTGCCCATCTACTTGGGCATCAAACTGCTCTATTTCACAAATGCCGTGAGTCAACTGGTGCTGATGTACCATTTTCTCGGACTCGACCGAGCTGAGGTCGGCTGGAACCCGATGAGCTTCGGGCCGCTGCTGGCGCAGAGTCTGTTGCGCGGCGAGTTCTGGCAGGAGACGCGCATCTTCCCACGTGTGGCGTTTTGTGTGCTCTCCGAGATGCGTTTTATGGGCTCCAAGAACACACACACGGCGCAGTGCGTGCTGCCCATCAACATGCTACATGAGAAGGTCTACCTCTTTCTGTGGTTTTGGATCGGCCTCGTGGCGCTCTGTACCGCCGTCAGCCTGCCAATCTGGATCTACCGAATCTACCTGCCCAATTCCAGACACGAATACGTAAAAGTGCTCATTCGGCGGGCGGCATTGTTGAAAGAAATTGGACCGTGGGAAATCAACATGAACCAATTTATTGATGAATTTCTTGGCAAAGATGGTGTTTTCCTACTCCATTTGATAGGCCTTAATGTTGGAGATGTTGTCTCCACGACGACGGCTATAATTCTAATGGAAAAATATATGGTTTTGAGAAAAGCCGTGGAAGAAGAACTGGTTTGACGCGGTTGACACATTTCGATGACAGTGGTTCGATTTGAAGAAAAAAAAACAAACAAAATAAAGCTGATCTTCATCACATTCGCCTTTTTGCCACATTTCAATCTTTTACCTGATTCCGATTGTTTGATTTCTTGCCCTGTTGCAGTTGATGCAAAAGTAAAATTCGGATTTTGCAAATACCGGTTGGCACCAATTTGTAGAGTGGATAGAAAGAGTGGATGGATCTCGATGAACCGCCGGAGACTTTCATTTCATATGAAAGTGTGTCTGGTGAAGCGATTTCAGGGTTTATCACACCTTACGACATCGGGCCGGTTCCCGTTGTTATGCAGTGGTGTTTGGCCCCAATTCACGAGACATCCCAAAATGTATATATCCATATATCTAAATTTACATATTTTTACTGTTTATGTTAAGAGTATATGCAATATGCAAGAGCTCTTCTTGACTTGGTGTTAATGTAAGACTTTTGTAAGAATACATTCCAATTTTGATAACCTCTGTCAAATGATGCATGAATGCTCAGCCCGTTTTCACCCGAAACGCCCACCGGTCAAGTTGTCCGCCAATTTAGGGACGGTCCCATTTCGAATTCGAGTCCGTGCATGCTTTGCTCCAGCCTCGAGTCGGGCCAAAACAACACTCGGGCCCTCCTCAAGCTGAATCTGCCATCTACGATTTTGGGCCCAAACTGACTTGGGCAAAGAGGCGATGAAGAAATAGAATGATGTAACACGTCAAGAGACGTGAAGAGTGGAAGATTCAGACACGCCTAAAGTAATTCTCATCTTAAAAGGTACTTTTCAGTATTTACAGTAGATCATAATTAGGAGATGTATTTAACCTATTTAGCTCAAGCGGATTGAGAAGTGATAGTTAAATTTTGCCTCAATCAGGTAAGTGGGCATCATGTTTCCATTGCATTTCACACTTGGCCAACTTGCCCATCCCGACTGGACTGGACTGGACTGGACTGGATTGGATTGAAGTTTCGACCCCGCCTGAATTGGTCTCATCAGTACCCTCAGTGGGACTCGAATCCGGCGTATAGTCCCGACACGTTGTCCACCATGTCACACTGCCACAAATGCTCTCGGGTCACAGGGCAGATGTGAATTTTAAGGAAGACATATTTGTGTTTGGTAAAACAATCGAGTATATTACTTATTTCTGTTTATAAATATGATTTCAAGACTGCATATTACAGCTATTTTTTTAAAGTGAGATATAATGGTTTTCTCGAAATCTATTTATAATCATGACTAATAAATGTTTGTTATTAAAATTTTGTTTTATCGACAATCTCACTACCAAATGTGATATCGTAATGGCTTGGCATTTGTGGCAATGTGTACAACCGAT